ATAGGCATAGATCCATTTTGGCTCGAATGGATCGCATAGGCAAGGTCATGATCATCCACCGTGTGCATACATTAGATGTATGTTAGGTTTATTTATGCGTTGGTTTCATGCGATGGAAAATACGGTAAATAAACACACGTAAAGATGGTAAACGATGAGATTAAGGAACCCCTAAAGAATTAAATTGATTAATTCATATCAAATCAGTAATGGATAAAAATAAGTTGGAACTTATTAATCCAGGCCTTCCATCAAAAGTAGACGACATGAGATGCTACGATGCTTTATCACTGACCATGAGTTGTGGGGTGGTTTTGTGTCGAAAGCTGTGATCCCTACTAAGTATAGTGATACTCGTGAGACGGATTCATTTTTGTGTTGACCATGAGTCGTGGGACACTCTGATGGGCCGTTATCATGAATGTTTGATGGGTTTGATTTGACACTGAGTAATATATGCGGTCATAAATGGAGGTATATAAGGAAAGGTGAGGCAAAACATCTTGAAGGTTGTATAGAGATACAATTTTCAAAAGGTTGACTACCAGTATAAATGTTCCATGCGTACTCATAAAATTGGGATATGGAATATTTTTATTGGACTTCAAGCCCACTATGAATATTAGATTTTCATAATTAAAATGGGTTTTAATTAAAATAGTGGGAGACATTAAATATTAAAGACCTAATGTTAAATGAATATAAATTCCATAGTCTAACTATTTTCTGCTTCGTTTGTTGTTTTGTAGATCAATCTACGAAAATGGCTAAAAATCCAATCGCAAGTATACTAGAACAAAACAAATTAACTGGACCCAACTTTATCGATTGGCTAAGGAACCTAAAAATTGTTCTTCAGTCTGAGAAGAGGGAATATGTACTGGACAGAGCCCCTCCTCCTCCACCAGAGGATCAGACATCTGATGAGTATGGAGAGTATTTACGTCATCCAGATGACAATCTCCAGGCTCGGTGCTACATGTTAGCATCTATGTCTAATGAGTTGTAGAGACAGAACGAATTGTTGAATAATGCTTCTGAAATACTCCTTTACTTACAAGAGTTGTATGGTGATAGGACGCGGCAGATTAGATATCAGATATCTAAGGAACTTTTCAGGTGTCGTATGACCGAGTGCTCTTCAGTTCATGATCATGGGCTGAAGATGATAGCTCTTGTGGAAAGACTTTCGTCCCTTGGAGTCATTATGGATAATGAACTCTATGTGGATCTCGTGCTGCAATCTCTGCCACCGTCATTTGACAGCTTTGTCGTTAACTTTAACATGCATAATATGGAGACTTCTCTGCCAGAATTAGTGAACATGTTAAAGACGGCTGAATCCACAATTAAAACGGATAAGCCGGTGCTTCTTGTTGGATCCACTTCCAAAGCGTAGACCTTAATGTCTAAGAAGAGGAAGGGGAAGGGAAAGGTTCCCAATAAACCCAACAAGAAGGAAAATAACGATAAAGGGAAGAACAAAGAAAAGGTTAATCCTCATTCTAATCATTAATGTTATCATTGTGGTAAAACTGGGCACTGGAAGAGGAACTACAAGGAGTATCTTGCAAGCCTGAAGAGTTCAGGTATTTATTTTGTTGAAGTTAACTTATCAGTTAATGATTCTTATTGGGTATTAGATACCGGCTGTGGCTCACATATTTGCAATGATTTGCAGATGATGGCAAGAAGTAACATGCTAGAACCTGAAGAAACAATCCTAAGGATGGGCAATGGGGCAAGAGTTGCTGCCAAGGCAATTGGGACTATTTATCTAGCATTTAATGATGGTGTAAATATGTTCCCTTACAAATTGTTTGTATGTTCCGGACATTATAAGAAACATTATCTCTATTCCAGTATTGGATAAAGAGGGTTTTAAGTTTGTTATTGAAAATGGAAAGTGTTCTATTTTTAAAGATACAACTTTTATATATTCCGGAAATTTGACAAATGGATTATATACCATTACACCACAAAGTCCCATCCTAACTATTCAACAAAATAAAAGGAAATTAGATAATCATAGTTCATTCACAATTTGGCATGCTAGATTGGGTCATATATCTGAAAAAGAGGATTCACAAATTGGGACCAAAACTCGACCTTAGGGGCGAGGAAAGGTTGCCTACTTGTGAGTCATGTCTTAAAGGTAAAAAATGACAAAATCACCATTTGTTGGACAAGTGGAGCGAGCTAAAGGTCTGTTAGATTTAATCCATACAGATGTTTGTGGACCACTAAATGTTAGTGCCAAGGGGAACTACCACTATTTCATAACCTTTACTGATGATTATTCACGGTATGGATATGTTTACCTATTGAGGTACAAATCTGAAGTATTTGAAAAGTTCAAAGAATTCAGAAATGAAGTGGAGAAACAAATTGGTCGTAGTATTAAAGTTCTTCGATCGGATCGAGGAGGTGAATACTTGACTAATGAGTTTCTTGATTATTTAAGAGATAATGGGATTATTTCACAGTGGACACCTCCTGGAACTCCACAACTCAATGGGGTTTCAGAAAGGAGGAATCGAACATTGTTAGACATGGTTCGATCAATGATGAGTTCCACTAGTTTACCTCTTTCATTCTGGGGCTATGCCTTAGAAACAACAGCACATATTTTGAATAGAGTGCCAAGTAAAGCTGTGCCTAACACACCTTATGAGATATGGTGTGGCAAAACACCCTCGTACAAGTATTTACGAGTATGGGGTTGTACTGCTTATGTGAAGCAGTTAGTGGGAGATAAGTTGGATATGAGATCCATCTTATGTAAATTTGTGGGGTATCCAAAAGAGTCTATTGGATACTATTTCTATGATCCCTCTGAATAAAAGGTGTTTGTTTCGAGGAACAAAAGGTGTTTGTTTCGAGGAATGCTGTTTTCACCAGTAGCAATGCTTAAATCCATTCGGATATTGCTTGCTATAGCTGCGTATTATGACTATGAGATATGTCAAATGGATGTGAAAACTGCCTTTCATAATGGAAACATTAAAGAAGACATTTATATGAAACAAACAGAGGGTTTCATATCCAGTGGGACTTAAACAAGCTTCAAGGAGTTGGAACATTCGGTTTGATGAAACGATCAAAACGTTTGATTTTCATAAGAACCCGGATGAACCATGTGTTTACAAGAAGGTTAATGGGAATGCAGTTGCCTTTGTTGTACTCTATGTTTATGATATCTTACTCATTGGGAATGATGTAGGGATGTTGCAATCAACACGGACATGGTTGTCAAAACAATTTTCCATGAAAGATTTGGGAGAAGCATCTTTTATCCTTGGGATAAAAATCTGTAGAGATAGATTTAAAAGGATGTGTTGTGTACAAATTATTCTTTTTACCGAGTACCGAATCTAAAGATTCGTTCCCCAGGTCGATCTCACGAGGAAGGCTGTTCGGAATTTAGTTCTGATATCGATAACACATAAAAAGAAAACAAACCTAAACACTCTAATCGAATAAGGATGGATGAATAATTATCAACTAAGAAATAATAAAAAGCAATAACCTACCTAAGAAGATAAACGAAACAATGAAAAAGAAGCTAGGGAATCGGGGATAATTAATTCAAGTTCTAGCAAAACCGGGCAATCAATTGTTCGGTTCAAGATTGACACTCTCGCTTAGACATCTAGCGGTTCGCTCCCAATAACTCTTCGTAACAAGGGATTGAACATGGACGAACAAGTTCGAGCATACGACACAGGCCAATTATGCCAATCCCAATAACTTTTCGTAACAAGAGATGGGTCATTGACAAGTGCGTATTTCAATCTAAAACACGTAGATTAGTCAATTACGACATCTTCTACCTCATGTGAGCCTAAGTCTACGACTTCTCCCCTTTCGGTTCAAAAAGTCGCTAATTCAATTAGAAGGGTATTAACCGACTAATCACAAAGAATCAACAAAACCCTAACTCAACTAATCAACATTCAATTGTTACCAATTGCAAGATCGAAGTGTCACTCTTCGATTATATCAATCAATCAAGCAAGAATATATCAATTCCTAATTAAAACAACTCACATAAGTATGAACGAATCGAAGCCCGACAAGTACAATTCAAACAAAACCATCATCCCCTGTCCCTAGCAATCGGATTTAGCTACGAATATTAAATTCAACAATCATGATCTATCCTCTCAAATAATCATTATTCATGAATCAAATAAGAGAAATGAATACTTACAATCAATCCAAGTTCCAGTTGAATTCAAAATACAAGCTAAACCCTTGATAATAATGAAAAGAAGAAGAAAAATGGAGAAAAGAAAAGAGAAGAGAAGAAGAATATGAAGGAAAGTGAAGGGGGGAGGAGATTTTTGGACCTAGGGTTCCTCCCCCTTCCAGCTGGAAGTGAAAAGAATGGAGAAAAAACGAGTTTTGGGGCTTTTTATACTATTCTGGGACTTGCAGGGGGTCATAGCGCCGCTACTACCATAGCGGCGCTTTGGGATGAAATGCTCGAGCCTCTGCCCATCGCTTTGCTATGTAACGCCGCTATCTGGGGCCATAGCGGCGCTATGGCTATAGCGGCGCTATGGCCCGGGCAGCTTTGCACGATTTCACTGTTTGGGCTCGTTCGGGTTTGTTTGGACTCAGAATTCGATTCCGCTTTTTCCTGTGTGTTGCCAACGAACTCCTCTATTTAATTATGCTTGCACAATAAGCTTTTGCCCAAAATTATGTCCTCTTGAAGCTTCAGACCTACACACCATAAACAAAGAAAAATGGAAAAACACACAAAAACACCAGAAAAAAACTGAAATAGATCAAAACACGCAATAAACTACAAAAACGAATAAAACCCAAAGATAAGACTCAATATGGGGGAAAAAGAAAGACAAAAATACAACGAAAAAATGCAACAAAAATGGGACAAACAGGATGATTGGACTATCCCAGTCAACGTACATAAATAAGGTGCTAAAACGGTTTAGCATGGAAGAATCCAAACGTGGATACATTCCAATGAGTCATGGGGTTTCACTTTCTAAGACGATGTCTCCAAAGACACCTGAAGAAAGAGAACGGATGAGTCATATACCTTATGCATCAGCTATTGGTAGCATTATGTATGCGATGTTATGTACAAGACCTAATGTGGCTTATGCACTTAGTGTAACGAGCAGATATCAGTCTAATCCAGGTGAAGAACACTGGAAAGCGGTTAAGATAATCCTTAAGTACTTAAGAAGGAATAAGGATATCTTTATGGTGTATGGAAATGGAGAACTGAAACTAGAAGGCTTTACTGATTCTGGTTTTCAGTCGGATAAAGATGACTTTAAATCCATGTCTGGTTACTTGTTTACTCTGAATGGAGCAGCGGTTAGTTGGAAAAGTTCCAAACAAGAAACAATTGTTGACTCTACGACAGAGGCTGAATATATTGTTGCATCTGATGCTGCAAAGGAAGCTGTTTGGATAAGAAACTTCATCCAAGGGTTGGGTGTAGTACCATCTGTTGTTGATCAAATAATGATTTATTGTGATAACAATGGGGCTATTGCGCAAGCAAAGGAGCCAAGATCTCATCAAAGATCCAAGCACATTACGAGACGATACCATTTGATTAGAGAAATCATTGGTAGAGGCGACGTCGTGATGGAGCGAGTCGACTCAGCAGAAAATATTGCAGACCCCTTAACTAAGCCCTTGTCACAGAAAGTGTTTGAAGGACATCTTGAGAAGATGGGTCTTAAATACATGAGTGATTGGAACTAGGGCGAGTGGGAGATTGTTAGAGTAGGATACCCGGCGTTCCAATCGGATTGGACGTATTCTACTTGTAAATACTATCTATTGGAATTATATTGTAAATAAGGCATTACTTTATCATAAGAGTAAGCTTTTATCCTATAATCGCACTTAAGATAAAATCCCTAAATCACTTATGGCTATAAGGTATGGTTGCGCATAGAGATAGTGATCATGGAACATACCTTGAAAGTTGCGATTTTAAATACAGTTCCAAGTCGTTGGATGTTTCGAGATGGGATGTCGAATAATCCGAAAAAAGACTTGCACATAGTATGTACGCTTGTTGGACAAGAATGTTGCATTTCATCAACATTAGCGTGGGACGCAAGTATATATATGTGAGTGCTTGTTAGAGAACAAGTTCACTGAACATGACCGTATGAAAATTCTTAATGAAAGATTTTTCTTGTCGAATAAGTATTTTCATGTTACAATAGTACATG